TATATATATATATATATATGTATATATATGTGTGTGTGTGTGCTAAAATATAATATGTGTGTGCTAATATATATATATATATATATATATATATATATATATATATATATATATACACACGATTAGCACAGTTAGCATCCTTATAATGCCTACCTAGCTTTCCTAAGAACGTCACTTATACGGAAAGTAAGCGTACACATCAAGGTACCCTGTAATGCAAATTTTGAAATCATTTAATTTTGTCCGCGAAAAATAATTTAATTTGAATGTTCGAGTTAAGTCAAATTTTGACTTCATAGTGCGCCAATAAAAACATTTGTAGAAGTTGAATCACTTAATATAATTTGATAAAAATTAGTACAAATGTAGCCAATAGTCACACCAAACTATGGACAAAATTTCAGCCTGATTGGATGACTGGTGTAGGATTTATTGCAGTTCTATTTGAAATTTTGTCAGCTTTTTGCTACTTATACCTCAAAGCGTTACCGATTACTTTGAAATTTGGTCACTTTTAAAATAACGGTTACACAAGTGTTCTACTATGTAATACCAACAATTTTTGTTATACTTACTTTATCGGTAGTGGTGTAGTGGTAGAGCGCTCGCTTCATAAACGAGTGGTTCCGAGTTCGATCCCCACCACGTCCCTGGTAGTACCGCGCTCAACTCGTTTCTCAGCGCAGCGGCCTTGCTCGTCAAGGTTCGTGTTTCGGAGTTATAGAGTTGAGAGAGGGTTATAACCACAAATAAGTAGCCTCCTCGTCTGTAGTGGCCTTCTCGGCCTTGAGGAGGTGAATTAGAATAATAAAAAAAAAAACATGTACAGTTTTTATTTTATAGACTAAAATAGTGATTTTCTACCTAAAGCGTGATTTAAAAAGTCTTATGCTAATAGTGTCGACACGGCCTTCAAAGTGGAGGGGATCAACCTCTCAATTTCTAAAATAAAATCCATAATTTCTAAAATTATATTTATTATACGCCGTAAATTATGAAATTCAGCAGCCTAATTTCTAATAACTCAAATGATGTTTTTTAAAGATGCTTACTGTTTAGATCAATTATGCAGCGCAACAACCTTTCTTTGTACTCTGGATAATTATTATTTCGCTTATACCTCGACCGATGTAGATAAAAATCTTGATGAGAAGTTTCGACAGTTTGTTCACTATAGGGCCCCAAGGGGGATCCTTTGTGACTGATGAAATCCTTGATGTGGTAGAAAACGGCGTGGGTTTTGGGTGTTATGCTTGCACCAGTTATCATTAGATAACACTTTTTGAAATTTTCAATTTTTCAGCGAAATCCGGCTGAAGAATGTATCCAAAGACAGCCTTGACAACTAAATTGAAGCTTTTGAATGCTTCAATTATACACACGATATTGGTAACCATGTTTGTCTCAGCAAGTTGCTGCAGCATATCCACATTTTTAAGAAGCTTCCTGCATTCTTTTCCCTCAAACTGGCCCCTGTGATACGGGCTCAGTTGAATGTGAAGGGCAGCTGGCCACTTAACAGCTTCTATCCCAGCAGTTTTAAGGATCTTGAAAAGGTGGTTGACAACTCCTAAGAGGAGATGCAATTCCATCTCTGGAATGATTTCCAAAACCAGAACATTGACAGGCCCGCAGATGATTGGCTTTCGAATGACATTGCCAAACAGCTTTGCATTAGCAACAACCCCGTCAGATTGCTGAAAAGACTTAAGGCTTGAATTAATTGAGCCCAGTGTTCGGAAGTTGCTAGATTTGGCAAGAAAATTGGATTTGATGTCACACCAGGTGCAAGGGTGCGTACTTGAATGAGTTTGAAGACCACAAAGTATATTTGCAACTTTCATATCACAAGTCAAAATTAGTTTAACTCCATTTGCATTAATTAGTGACCAGATTTGTTCAATATTGGAGTGTGTTTCTGGCAAATCTTCTGAAACCCCAACAATAATTTGTCTCTTGTATTTACCTGTCCTTTGAGTGATAGGTTGTTGGTGCGGTGAGCTAGTTTCATCCCTGAATGCAGTATCAACAATGCTTAAGCAAAACTTGAGAAAACCTTTGCTACCATCAATTCCGAGCTTAACAAAATAGCCACAAGAAATTTTGCGGGACTGAATAACATGATTCAGACTTGATAAATCATTGCAGTGAGCAATAACAAGAACTGTACAAGAATTCGTTTTTTTGTCTGTGATTTTTAAGTCAATGCAGGTGAAGAAATCGCTCAATTGTTGACCTAGTCTTAGAAAATTCATGTAGAAATTTCGAATCTTGCTGCTTGATGTTTTGTTTAGAGTTCTAACAAGTTTTTTTAATCTATTGTTTGACAGGCCCGTATTTAATTACACATTTACAAAGGCTACAGTGGTCAATTTCGGAGCACTTGCGCACTACTTTGACCTAAAACCAAAACATACATGTTTTATAGTTACAATAAACTTTGTTTAATAAGTTTGTGTAAAACTTTCAAATTATTTGTTTTTAAAGAAGTTAGACACTTGTCAAAAATATACTTCTTGAAATCTATCTAGTATTATTACTTAAGCTCAAGACTTTATTTCAATATATATGTTAAAATTATTTAAGTGTAAATATTTACCAGGGGTAACTATAAGTGGCGGCCCGCCGGATGCTTTAGCCAGTAGAATAGTTCCTTCCGGAGGAAGGAACTATTTTTTATTGGAATTCTATATATTACTAATTCTTTATTGGAAATAACTTGAGACTTGATTTATTTAGATGATTTGGCATCTTTTGCTGCTAAAGATTGAATGTTTTCCCTTAACATTATTTGAGAGCATTGGTGGGACAAACCTTTTCCTAAAGGGCTGAGGCATTTGCTGCCACGCACCTTTGGTTCTTTCTCAATAGTGGTTTGCTCTATAAGAGAATGTTTTTCTTGCAGCTTTGAACGACCAATTCAGCATATTATGAAACAACACATCGTGCTTCTTGTTTCAGGTCTCACTTGTATTGACTTAAAATTAAACAAAGGAGGGAGTACAACTTCGTTTCCTGCGCAAAGTAATTCTACCCAATTCGCAGAATCCTTCGTACCCGAGTATCACTGATATTGATCTTGGTCTTGTACAGGTGGCATATTCAATCTGCTTGAAAAGTAATAAGCTGTCTTAAAAATTTTTTCAGACAGAGGAAGCACACAAACTTTCGATTTTCATCATGGTTCTTTGCTTTTTTTGGCATCGTGACAATTCACTAAATTTGACTTCACTAAATCAAACTCTGCTTTTAACAAAATTTGACCTATATTTATATTTTATAACAATCCACTTAGCATAGTAACACATATTATTAATTAAAAACTATTAAAATAAAGGAAATATTTACTTGATTTAATTGAGGTAATGTTAAATTACAAGGAAATAATTCTTGAATAGTTCTTTCCTTACCAGGAAACAATTGTTTAAACTATTTAGTTGAAAGGAAATTACATTATTGATAATTATCAAACTTATTAAACTAATGATACTTGTCACACGAGTTGTTTTATTTTAAAACAACCCTTTAACTTAATTAGTTATTCAGTTAGAGTAATTTTCCTCCGACTGGCCCTCCAAACTTTGTATTGGTCAGATATCTTAGTTAACTTTTCTAAATTTTTAAAGTCAATTATCTTTGTCAGTATAAAAAATATTTGACAGCTGTTTTCAGATAAATAAGTATTTTTATTTTCTAAAAATGCCTAAAAATATTACGGGCCTAAAAATCCTTCTTAACCATTTTTTTAGAAATTTTTTGCATTCTGGCAGTAGTTTATACCTTAGGAAATGTTGGTATATTCACGCTATGCATACATGGCCGTTAAGGGAGCCATTGCTGCCCACTATTTTTTTGTGAGGACCTTTTGTTTTAAAAATATAGGCAATTATTTTAGAAATTGTGGATTTTATTTTAGAAATTGATGGGTTGACCCCCTCCACTTTAAAGGCCGTGTCAACGCCATAGGCATAAGCTAATTCAAATTACGCTTTAAGTAGCAAATTACTTTTTTGGTCTATAAAATGAAAACTGTACATGTACCGACAAAATAACTATAACAAAAATTTTTGGTATTACATAGTAGAACACTCATGTAACCGTTACTTTAAAAATATTGACCGAATTTCAAAGTAATTGCTAACGCTTTGAGGTATAAGTAGCAAAAAACTGACAAAACTTTAACTTAAACTGCAATAAATCCTACACCAGTCATCCAATCAGGCTGAATTTTTGTCCAGAGTTTGGTGTGACTATTGGATACATGTAGCCAATAGTCACACCAATGAAAATTTTCGAATCGTAACTCGAATCATATTTTTGATTCGATTCAATTTGAAATTTCGAAGCTTCGCAGGCCTTTAATTAAAACATTTTAACACTTTAGTTTCAATGTAATTTTCACTAGGCAGTTATATAATGTATAAGTTAAAGTGGTATTTTTCTTTTAGTTATTTTACACTAACAAATGTTTTATGTATGAGCAAATGTTGTTTTTAAAAATAAACTTTTAAAAAATTTTTTTTCGAGCTGTTTGGATAGAAAATAGAGAGAAATAAAGAGAAAATACAATTGATAGTTTTTTTTGTTGGCCATCATCATTAAGTGTAATAAATTGTTTCAATGAAATGCATGAACCTCAGTCTAACTAATACATATTTAAGCTGCTCAATATTAAATGTTGCGGAGATAATGTAATTTTTTTTATAAACATCAAGTCATTACTTTTTTCCCTTGTTTCTTTAAAATGCTCTATTTACTGTATATGTTGTTTTTCGTGTTTAAGATATATATTCTTTATTACATAATATATTTAAAACATAGTTTTAAATTGAATGAATATTCTTAGATCATTAGTTATGTGATATTTTTGAATTTGCCACTACTAGTGATGCTCAGATAGAATCAGAATCAGAAAGTGTTAACTATTTTAAAAGATTTAAACTTAGGTTAAAAACTTAATTCAAATGTTATTAGTTTTATTTTGATGTTATTTATTATAG